AGAAAATGCACCATCGTTCTTAAACGATAAGACGAGGTTTTTCCCGAACCTGCCCGACAGCTTGCGTTCAGGAGTTCTTAAGGATATTCGAAGCAGCGATGCTTATTGGATGTTTGATGAAACTACGGTGGGTGATCCATTTGTGAAGTGTCACATTTTACTCGATTCACACTTTATGATGCAATGCACTCCTTTAGATAAGAAGTTTAAGTGTGATACTGTATCGTGACTTAAGACACTGTAATTTAGCTTGCTTAGGCAGATACGCCAATCTTCGTTAGAGGTACCCTATGGCACGCGATGTTTTCTCCTTCGAGTAGGAAACGTCTGCTTTTGCTAGGTTTGTTCGTAAGTAAGTTCCATAAATACGTCTTTTATCGAAAAGAACGTGTTTATGGAACTTACTTATGGACAAAGCAGACGTTTCCTACTCAGGGCAAAAACTGTCGCGTGCTCATAGGGTACCTCTAACGAAGATTGTTGATATTTGCCTACGTAAATCAAGATATAGTGTCTTAAGTTACGATACAATGCCATACCTTCAAATGCTTATCTAAAGGAGTGCATTGCATCATAAAAGTGACATCGAGTAACGATTTGTTTTAAAAAATAACTTTCAGAGTGAATTAAGAAGCTTCGAAGCTGTTGTACACTTTGAAACTTATCTTTAGTAAAGAGCAAAGTTTCCTTTAAGAAAAAAGTAACAGCTTTAACTGCACGTGTGCGATTGCATACTTAGCCCCGACAATGCAGGTCTAGCTGATCAAAAAATGTAGCGAATTTCTTGTATACTGTGACCAGTCAAAGATGGCTATGTTTTTCGCATTGCGATAAATGCGCATAATGATCCGCCAATAGGTTGTGCATGTATACTCAATGAAGTTTTCACCGCACGAACCGCATGTAGCCGAAAAAGAGGTTTACTATTGCAAATATTTTCTGCAATCCGAGGAACTGTTTGTACACTGCAAAAACCTGAGCTTTTTCTGTTCAAATATTGAAAAACGTCTAATCTTACTATTAGTGTACTCAATTTCGCTTCGAATTCAAAAAATTTGGGAGTATGGCCAAAAATCTGGAAAATTAGCCCTAAATTTGTGACTTATGTGACTAGAGGCCCATTTAAACTGAATCAGCGTGAAGCTAAGTATTTTCTGCAATCGAAAGTCTAGATTGGAACGTCAAGCATAGTTCGTTACTGTGACAGCAGCTCATTCCACTCGATACGTTGAAAAAAGCGCCACAATAATGCTGAAGAAATCTGCAAAATGGCTATTCTAGGTGTCTGACTACGATATGCCCACGAAGCAAGTGCTACAACTCGAATCTATCGAAGACTTTTTCAAGTGTATTTAATTTTTGACATTTCTAATATTTATGCTAATGTGTTGTAGCTGACCCGCAGTTATTTTAGAAATAAACTTAACTAAACACAACTTGTCAATCTTTATTCAATTAAATGTATGTATTTATGGCATGTTATATTGCCTGACTCAGTTCGTTGTAGAATTTTGACACAACATTGTGATATCTGGGAATTTTTGCCTAAACATTGGTAGTATCATCTCATACTTCAGTTTACCCGATTGTAGGGATTAAAGGCTGACTCTAATATAGTCGAGCACTGTTGAATAGACAAAGAAGTACTGCAGTTCATTTGATATAGCATGCGCACGCTGTTTTCGAATTTCAAGTGCAATTTCTTTCACCTTGAAAAGGAGAAAAGGGAAAAAAATTTGGCAAAAAGGCTGAAGTGGTAAAAACAGACTAACCGAAGCATCGACCCCCTTGAAAAGTCGGTTACAAACTTGATCTATCGCCAAGAATGTACCAGCACGCCCAACACCAGCACCACTAACAAGAGCAACAGGAGCCATCTGGAGCAATTTATGTCAAAACGTTATGAATTTTGAAGTCAGGCCAGAGACTCACCGCCTCCAAAGCCTGCATCCATTTTAGTAACCGCAGTACCATGCGACCACTACTCGGCACAGCTTTGTCTGGCCAGGTGGTGCAATGTGCGAGACGAGTGAGGATGGAATTTGAGCATCCGTCAGGAAGAATCTCAAGCGTGTATATATCATGTTGGTCGAGGTGATCCACCTGGAATAGCAAACACCGATATCGACTGATGGAGGCCATGAGACAATATGAGATGCTCAAAACAAAATGTCGTGCAAATTTAGAGTACATTTTGTTGTTCTTTTCTAAATTCAAAAAGTTGTAAATGATTTCAGCCAACAAGATTCGCGTACTTTGATTTTAAAAAATCAACTGCCTAGTTACTACGATAATTCAACGATCACACACGTGTGATATTTAGTTGAAATTGATATTACATTTCTCTAGTCATAAGAAAAAAAAAATAAAATGCTCTGTCATTTTACTAGTTTTTGATTGAGAACATGAACATGAATGTTTTGCTAA